CCTGGGGAGAGCGGTGCCGTGGGCAGCACGCTCCATTGCTCTTGGCTCCCTGGGTGAGCAGGAGCTGGCCCGAAGGCAGCCCAGGGACCTGGTGCTGTGAGCACCTGGGTTCACCCTGGATCATGGTCACAGGTTTGCGTGTGCAGGACATGCAGTGAGCCTGTGCCCATCAAAAGGTGAAGGCGACGCAAACAGCAGTGCCGGGGTCACCCCGATGTGGGGGGACACAGCCAGGGACCCCCGGCACAGCGTCCATGGGAGAGGGCTCCCAGGGAGCTCAGCTCCTGCCGAGCCCAAACACAGCAGCATCTTCATGGTGGTTCAGCCTGAACCGCCCCAGGACGGGGCTCAAGCACCAGCCCCCACAAGGGGACAGGGATCACCTTTAACTGACAGACACCACACTCATGTCACCACGACCCCCCCAGCTCGGTCCCAGGCTGCTGCTGGGAGCAGAGCCCCTCACTTACGATTTCCCCCAGCAGAACAACGTTCTCCCCTCTCACAACAAAGATGCCTCGAGGGATGTCCCCATACTTCTTGCCCACGTGGATGCGCTCCACAGTCTGGTGCAACACCAGGTTTGCTGCAGAGAGAGAAGAACCCAGATTTCAACGTGTTTTGTAGCTATAAAGAGCATCTTACCCCAGGCAGAAGTGGTGGCAGGTCCCCTGAGTCCTACCACTGAAGGCACCAACCGCCTCCCATGGATGCGGCACGGACCTCCAGCACCCACAGCCTGCGCAGGCAGGACAGACCACAGGGCTTGAGCATCATGGGCCCATGGTCCAGACAAGGACCCACGTGTGCCTCCAACTATTTGTGCCCAAAAAGGGATGCTGGAGCAGCAGTGCTGGACGCAATTGGGAGGAGGGGGAAAGCACCAAGTCCAGGGGGATTAAACACGGACGGGTGTTCAATCCCCAGCACAAACACACTAAACCTGCAATCACATCACTCCACTCACCGCTAAACTGATGTCTTTGAAAACTCACGTGGTTTTAAGCCAAGGAAATGCACGTTCCTGCTCAGGCCCCGCACACTGCGGAGTCATTACAGCCACTGCACCACGGCGGAGTCATTCCAGCCACTGCACCACGCGGGGACCCCGAAATGGGGAGCTCCCCCTAAATCCACGCTCCCTCCTTATCGCTACGCCGCTGTTTGGGAAGGGAGCTGCTCCGGTGAGCGCGGGAGCATCACCCGGCTCATCCAAACGGGCACCACGGGGCCCTCC